GGTAACCTGGTTGCCGAGTTCACGAAGTGAATTGGCTTGTTGTACAACGTCATTGCCAAGCGACGAAGAGCCAACCCCGATGGCAAACACCGGGGCGAGGGTGGAGACTGAAAAATCCCTTGTCTAGCTGGTCGATTTTTTTTTTTCTTTGGCTCACAGAGTTCACGCCTCTCAAGGGAGTTCGACTCACGCGTTCTTTCTTTCGTTGCTTAAAGTTATTGTTGTTGATGAGGTGCACAGGAGCAACGAAAACAAAATTTCACAACATAACGTGTAGCAACAGAGAGAAAGAATGAAAAAGCTAAAAAATCAGCGCAGAGAGGTATGAAGCACAATGCTCGCCAACCTTCTCGCCTTGTTTGCGAAGAGAACCGCTGACGAGACGTCCCCTCGTGGGCCTCTCTCCGATGTACTGAACCCAGCCTGCAACAACAGCGCTGGCAAAAGGGATTACACGATCAGTCGTCGTGTCCCACTGAAGTGGTTGTGCTCGCCCTAAGGTACCCGCATTTTCAAGGTCGGATTGGAGTCATGTGTAGTCTCTCGTGTCGAAAGGGTGTCCGAGAATCCCCCGTCACCTATTCCCATCTCACATTTCCCTGGCGCAACAGGTTTACCAGAGCTATGAGCTTTGCTGCGGGGATGGGTCAGGGAGGGGAGACGGTATAACTCCACTCAAGAGCGCGTTCGACATGGCCGGTGCCAAACGCTACGTGGAACTTGAGGTATACTTGGTAGCAACAACACTGACCAGAGGGACAGAGGGGTGGGTGGGGAGGGAGGGAGCCAGATAGACAGATAGAGGGAGACAGACAAGACAGACAGAGAGGGGCAGAGAAACAGGGAGAGGAGGAGAGAGACATATTAGTATACAGGGAGGGTGGGGGGTACCTGACCCGCTCCACCTGCAGTGGTTGCTTTTTTGAACGAATCATCTCTTAAGTCATGCGTACTACCTGTTCGTCTGGTTGTCCCTTTATTTTTGGTTGTGGAGAAAACGAATGAAGGTATATATGGTTTACTTCACTGTTTTGGGGAGACACATCGTTGTTGGTTTTTGCTTTGACCCCCCCCCCCC